TCCACACTTAAATGTTGTGTGTTTATCGCCCCCAGGAGAGAAGTGTGGACGGTCGACGGGGGCTGGAGGTCGTGGGGACTGGAGGTCGACGGGGCTGGAGGTCGACGCTCTTGTTTTGAATCGGTCGAGATATCTCCCGGATTATTTGATTTGATTTATTTACTTACTGGTTACGCTTTGACTTGATTCACTGATATTACTCGCCTGTGAAGGGGATCAGTTCTGAAGTTTGTGTTTTTAGGTAAAATTGTTGGATTCAAGATGTATCCATGTCGCAAGATGAATTCTTTAGAATAAACATGTAATAATTGGAATTCGTATGACGAGATACCGTTGAGGTTTCTGAATGGGAAGGCCTTTGAGAACTTGGGATTTCTCAAGATATTTTTAAGGTGCCGCGTCAAGCCTTCCCGACAGCTTATAGGCCCAATAAGGTGTATTGCCGTAGGCCTACCTCTGGAGGCTACCTGGGTGTCCAGAACACCTCTCAATCTTTTTGGTCATATTATATATGGTGAACATGCCTCTCCAATTTCTTTAACTGGGCCAATTCATTTTCGCCTTGCCTAATATTTCTTGCCTCTCAACTCTGGCACTGTACAACTGATAGACCTCTAGAGTTTCTCCAGCGCCGTGTTGTGTTTTGACAAGGTCTGGCCTCCATGCTGATGCTAAATACTTTATAATTGGTTTAATTTTTGGTATTCAAGGCCCTGTTCGAATCCTTGTTCAGATTTTTGAAGGCAGTTCTTTCGTTAGGCAATTTTGCTTAGGCCTATGTAACAAGATATCTGGTTGATATGGGTTGGGTTCGTGGGGGGGGGGGAAGGGTTGAACTCAAGTGGTTCATGAGTGGACTTTTGGGTATGTGTATCCGCCTAATTGTATTTACAGGGGTTGAGCTTCGGCTCTTAGGTGTCGCCTCTCGACTGGCAGTCGACTGGTGTTCAGGTTCCTGAGCCTTTTGGGTTCTATTATATCTACATTTGCACCTGTATATAGTGTCTTGCCTCACTTCTTGAGCAGTTTATTTATTCACTATTCTGACGCTGGAATAATTGTCTGATGTTTCTGTAGCACATTTGGACACTCGGTTTTCACCTGTGTTCCCTTGTATGAGTACCACACTAAGAATTTAATATGTGGTAATTCTGTCTCCACTAACTCTTTAGTCTGCCAGTTATGTGAGGTTTAATTCCTGAAGCCTTATCTCATAACTCATAACTGTTTTGAGATGTAACTTCATAACTCTGAAGAGAGAACGTTCATAACTCTGAACGTTCTCTGAACATCTCTCTCTCGTGTGTGTGTGTGTGTGTGTACTCACATAGTTGTGCTTGCGGGGGTTGAGTTTTGGCTACTTTGGTCCCGCCTCTCATCCGTCAATCAACAGGTGTACAGGTTCCTGAGCCTATTGGGCTCTATCATATCTACACTTGAAACTGTGTATGGAGTCTGCCTCCACCACATGACTTCCTAATGCATTCTATTTCTTAACTAATCTGACAAAAAAAAAAAATCTGTCTTTATGGCTCATTTGGGCACTCAATTTCCACCTGTGTCCCCTGGTGCGTGTTTCCCTTGTGTTAAATAAACTGTCTTTGTCTACCCTATCAATTTCTCTTGAGAATCTTGTATGTGTTGATCATCTACCCCCTTAGATGAGAGAAAATGTCAGCACTGTAGAGAAATGCCCGACAGACCACTGGAACATTATCTAACACAGTGCACAGTTACAAACCCATTAAAATTTCAACTTAGATTCAACAGAGCAGAAGTTGTTAAACACATATGGCAAAATCTTACTGAAGCGACCATAAGAGTCATAAATACTCATACTCCGCCCAAGTAAAACAGAAACAAGCAACACTTAGTGGCCCAGCCAGAGGCTTAGGGCCCGCGCAGTAGGCCAGCCAGAGGCTTAGGGCCCGCGCAGTAGGCCAGCCAGAGGCTTAGGGCCCGCGCAGTGGGCCAGCCAGAGGCTTAGGGCCCGCGCAGTAGGCCAGCCAGAGGCTTAGGGCCCGCGCAGTAGGCCAGCCAGAGGCTTAGGGCCCGCGCAGTAGGCCAGCCAGAGGCTTAGGGCCCGCGCAGTAGGCCAGCCAGAGGCTTAGGGCCCGCGCAGTGGGCCAGCCAGAGGCTTAGGGCCCGCGCAGGAATATCCCTGCAAAAAAAAAAAAAAAATCTACCCCCCTAACTCTATTGTCTTCTAGCGACGTGAGGTTTAATTCCCATAGTTTCTCCTCATGGTTCATGCCCCTCAGTTCGGGCACTAGTCTGGTGGCAAACCTCTGAACCTTTAAAATTTAGTTTTAAGTTTGATGAGATATTGACTCCATGCTGGAGCTGCATACTCCAGGATTGGTCTAACATACGTGATATACAAGGTTCTAAATGATTCTTTACACAAGTTTCTAAAGGCCGTTCTTATGTTGGTCAACTTGGCATATGCCACTGATGTTATCCTCTTGATATGGGTTTCAGGGGACAGGTCTGACGTGATGTTAACACCCAAGTCTTTCTCTCTGACTCTTGAAGAATTTCATCTCCCAAATGATACCTTGTACTACGGCTCCTGCCCCCCACGCCAATCTTCATTACATTACATTTGCTTGGGTTAAACTTTAACAACCATTTATTGGGCCATTCTTTCAGTTTGTCTAGGTCTTCTTGAAGCCTCAAGCAGTTCTCTTCTGTCTTAATCCTTCTCATAATTTTGGCGTCGTCAGCAAACATTGAGAGGAATGAGTCTATACCCTCCGGGAGATCGTTCACGTATATCAGAAACAGATAGGACCGAGTACAGAGCCCTGTGGGACTCAACTGGTGACTTCACGCTAATCTGAGGTCTCACCCCTCACTGTAACTCTCTGCTTCCTATTGCTTAGATACTCCCTTATCCACTGTGTATGTGTATTCACCTAGTTATGTTTTGCGGGGGTTGAGCTTTGCTCTTTCGGCCCGCCTCTCAGTTGAGAGGCGGGCCTTACTAACAACTTTTTTTTTTTCCCACACCACACACCAGGAAGCAGCCCGTAACAGCTGACTAACTCCCAGGTACCTATTTACTGCTAGGTAACAGGGACATTCAGGGTGAAAGAAACTTTCCCCATTTGTCTCTGCCTGGTGCGGGAATCGAACCCGCGCCATAGAATTACGAGACCTGCGCGCTCCACCAGGCTACCAGGACCCCTGTGTGTGTGGGGGGGGGGGGAACTAACTACTAGGCTAACTACTAGGCTAACTATTGACCATCCTCAGAATAACGCCTGCGAAACTTCATAAGTTACCTATTTACTGCTGGATAAACAGGCATCAGATGGAAAGATGAGAAACAATTTCATAGTCCGCAATCTCGATTACTTCTAAATTTGGGCTTCAAATAATATTTCGTCAGGAGTGAGCCAAATTGGACGGTACGTGGTATTTGTCGGCAGGATAATCAGTTGGCTAAAAGAAAATAAACGAAAGCTTGGAAGAGTAAAGAGGACCTTGAGGAAACATCTCCAATCCCAGCATCACTGGAGAGTAAATGGAGCTGCTCTCTGGGGGAGGCTCGCTACCCAGTGCACATTCTCACATCAGCAGTTGGGGAGAGTAAATAGGACCCGCGGGGCATGATATCCAGAGGCAAGATATCCAGCGGCCGCCGTGTCATTAGTGGCTAGGGAGAGCAATAGGAGCAGCACTATATCCTCCCCGCCGGCTCATCAGTGGGGGGGAACTTGGCCAAAATATCTCTCTCAGTAATTCATGTTCCTAATATAATATATTATTATTGTTAGAAAATAATCAATCTGGATAGAAATATTTGGAAACAAAAATCATTCTGCCTGTTAGGCAAATCGAACCTTGCATATTAGGCCAAGTAGTGCAGTTCTATAATTATTATTATTATTATTATTATTATTATTATTATTATTATTATATATATATATATATATATATATATATATATATATATATATATATATAGAAGGGAGTACCACCTCTAGCTGGAAGAAGGGGGACCCATAGCCTCGGAGGAAACCACGCATAACGCATTAGAGGGAATGTTTAGATCCCCTCCAATACAGTTTCTGTGTGCTTTTCTCCTACCACCCCCTTCCTTGAATATTTTTTGTGCTTTATTATGCATTTGATGGTTACAAGATATACATGGGTTGATACAAAAATAATAATGCAAAAAGGTGCTTAAAGGTTATGGATCTCTTGAAGAACACAACAATGGGAAACATTGATGAATGTCACAGACGGGTTCGATCATTGTTGCAAGTCAAACACTTCTTCGAATTCCTCTGAAGTTGGACTAGTGCCCAAGACGCAACAGGCACCTATATATATATATATATATATATATGTCGTACCTAATAGCCAGAACACATTACTCGGCTTAGTATGCAAGGTCCGAATTGCCTAATAGGCAGAGTGATTTTAGATATTTAAAAAAAATTGCTTCCAATTGATTTAACTAAATATGATTATATTATGATAAGAACATTTATAATGACTTAATCTTATGTTATAAGATTAAGGTTAGGTTGGTCGTATTTCTACGTTAGTTTTAACTCAGATTAAAAAAAATAAGATCATATATAATGTAATGCGTTGGTGATGGTATGCGTTGGTGATGGTATGCATCGGTGAGGGCATGCGCCGGTGAGGGCATGCGCCGGTGAGGGCATGCGCCGGTGAGGGCATGCGCCGGTGAGGGCATGCGCCGGTGAGGGCATGCGCCGGTGAGGGCATGCGCCGGTGAGGGTATGCACCGGTGAGGGCATGCGCCGGTGAGGGCATGCGCCGGTGAGGGCATGCGCCGGTGAGGGCATGCGCCGGTGAGGGCATGCGCTGGTGAGGGCATGCGCTGGTGAGAGCATGCGCCGGTGAGGGCATGCGCTGGTGAGAGCATGCGCCGATGAGGGCATGCGCCGGTGAGGGCATGCGCCGGTGAGGACATGCGCCGGTGAGGACATGCGCTGGTGAGGACATACGCTGGTGAGAGCATGCGCCGGTGAGAGCATGCGCCGGTGAGGGCATGCGCTGGTGAGGGCATGCGCTGGTGAGGACATGCGCTGTGGCGTGGTGTTTGCCAGCTTGAATATTCGCCAGCTGGCCGTTGAGGCAAACATTCGGAAGGATTGTTACATTTTTTTACTCTAGAGTTGTGTTTGTGCATCTGATTGTATACGGTGTTTGTGCGTCTGTTTGTATACGGTGTTTGTGCGTCTGTTTGTATACGGTGTTTGTGCATGTGTTTGTATGCGGTGTTTGTGCGTGTGTTTGTACACGGTGTTTGTGCATGTGTTTGTATACGGTGTTTGTGCATGTGTTTGTATGCGGTGTTTGTATACGGTGTTTGTGCGTGTGTTTGTATGCGGTGTTTGTGCGTGTGTTTGTATACGGTGTTTGTGCATGTGTTTGTATGCGGTGTTTGTGCGTGTGTTTGTATACGGTGTTTGTGCATGTGTTTGTATACGGTGTTTGTGCATGTGTTTGTATGCGGTGTTTGTATACGGTGTTTGTGCGTGTGTTTGTATGCGGTGTTTGTGCGTGTGTTTGTATACGGTGTTTGTGCATGTGTTTGTATGCGGTGTTTGTGCGTGTGTTTGTATACGGTGTTTGTGCATGTGTTTGTATACGGTGTTTGTGCATGTGTTTGTATGCGGTGTTTGTGCGTGTGTTTGTATACGGTGTTTGAGCGTGTGTTTGTATACGGTGTTTGTGCCTATTTTTCTTCCATGTTTATGCTTGTGTTTTTGTCCCTGTAATGAATGGTTGTGTTTGTTCCAGCAGAGTTTGTTTGTGAATTGTAATAATTGTAATAATTGTAATAATTGTAATAATTGTAATATCTAAAATTACAGTTAACTTTTTAATCAGAGTGAAGGGTTCTTAAATTAATCAACAGTAATTACTTTGATTAATGATTAATTTGGTAGGTTGTGTACGGTAACTATTGCTAACCATTGTCAGGTGTCATTAATCGCTGTCATTAACTCCAGGGTCATTAACTCCAGCGTAGTTAATCATGATCAATCTCTACTGATAATTATTTTTGTTGGTAATCATTATCATTAATCATTGTTATTCATCGATATCATTGTGGTTATTGGCAATGACATTAATCATCATCAGTCATCATAATTATCATTAATCATTATCAGTCATCATGCTCATCATTAATCGTTATCCTCATCTCATCATCAACACCCTCATATACTGTCAGCTAAATTCATCATCGGTAGCGTCATTAATAATCGTCTTCGTTATACATCATCGTTAATCATTAATCATCATTCCCAACATCATCAATGTCACCATCCACTCACTCGGTCCCTTCCACGAGGCGAACAGCACCAACAATCACGTTACACAAATTATTCTTATTATTGTTAGCCAATAATGGAATTCACAATCGCTGATATATGCGTTGGTGAGAGAGCCCAGCGGGTTTTCTTCCTATTGGGGAGTGTTGTACATGCTGCTATGGCGGGATGGTCACTCACAGGATGAGTGGCGCTGCCCTATAAACTCTCCATCGGGGCAAAATATATGAAAAAATATATGAAGTATAGCAATTAGGCAGGACGCGAATTTGAAGCCAAATACGCCGTCTTGAATGTAAATGTTGATTCTCAATATGCAAATGATATTTTCTTAAAATTGTGGATAGTGGTATTTGTTATACAGGCGTACACTAGCGTACACCATGGATGGAATTGGATCATAAACGCACTGTTTACCATCCATTTGGACTTAAGATTCACGAAGCAGTTACACAAGCACTTACGAACCTGTACATCTTTTCTCAATCTTTGGCGGCTTTGGTTACAATTATTAAACAGTTAATGAGCTCCGAAGCACCAGGAGGCTGTTTATAACAATAGCAAAAGTTGATTGGGAAGTTTTCATGCTTGTAAACTTTTTAATAAATGTAAACAAAGCCGTCAAAGATTGAGAAAAGATGTACACGTTCGTAAGTACTTGTGTAACTGCTTCGTGAATCTGGCCCAAGGTGGGTACAGGAGTAGATGTCTACTCCTGTTAGCAGGCCGAGAGCTTTCCCTTCCAGTATCTCATGGTAATCCTGACCAATGAATTTTCCCTGGAACACGACCCGCAAATCGGTTAACCAGGCCTCCAGTTACTGCTGGGTGAATAGGAGCGAACACTTGCGGATTGGCGCCCCGTTAATCCTCCGTAGATAAAGGTGTCACGGTGGAAACCTTCACCTCGGGTTTGACTGTTCATCGGTTAATCTTTTGAATATTGTTGTGGACAAAATTACACACACCCGAATAACTGAATGCCCGAAACGCTATGCGTATTAGTATCTTTAGCCATAGTATATACAAGCTATATCCAGAAATACAACATTCTGCTTATAACTCATTTTGTATGTATGTACTTTTACCTAAGTAAACATTATCATATATTTTTGCGTCATCGGAATGATTAATTAAGCTGCTTCAGAAGAGAAAATGTCGGAGAGTAAAATCCACACCTGAAATAGTCAAAGAAATAGTTCCCATCATTGTGCCGCTGTCGTGACGCGAGGACAATAACAAGGTACAATTTTAACCGAAAATTGTTGGGGGGTGGAATTAAATATGGGGTTTTATGGGGCATTGTGCTGGAGCAAGAGGTTCCAAGGGTCGCAATAACGGGCTGTACACCATCGACCATTAAATTGTAATGGTTTTATATGCTGGATGGTGAAACAAAAACTGCAGTTATAACACCACTTGCACGAGAAAGCACAGCACCATCTCGTCTCGGTAAATTCACCCGGACTATGGAGAGCTGGACTACAGGGACCCGGACTACAGAGACCCGGACTACGGAGACCTGGACTACAGGGACCCGGACTACAGGGACCCGGACTACAGGGACCCGGACTACAGGGACCTGGACTACAGGGACCCGGACTACAGGGACCCGGACTACAGGGACCTGGACTACAGGGACCCGGACTACAGGGACCTGGACTACAGAGACCCGGACTACAGAGACCCGGACTACAGGGACCCGGACTACAGGGACCCGGACTACAGAGACCCTGACTACAGGGACCCGGACTACAGAGACCCGGACTACAGGGACCTGGACTACAGGGACCCGGACTACAGGGACCCGGACTACAGGGACCCGGACTACAGAGACCCGGACTACAGAGACCCGGACTACAGAGACCCGGACTACAGGGACCCGGACTACAGGGACCCGGACTACAGGGACCCGGACTACAGAGACCCTGACTACAGGGACCCGGACTACAGAGACCCGGACTACAGGGACCTGGACTACAGGGACCCGGACTACAGGGACCTGGACTACAGAGACCCGGACTACAGAGACCCGGACTACAGGGACCCGGACTACAGGGACCCGGACTACAGGGACCCGGACTACAGAGACCCTGACTACAGGGACCCGGACTACAGAGACCCGGACTACAGGGACCTGGACTACAGGGACCCGGACTACAGGGACCCGGACTACAGGGACCCGGACTACAGAGACCCGGACTACAGAGACCCGGACTACAGAGACCCGGACTACAGGGACCCGGACTACAGAGACCTGGACTACAGGGACCCGGACTACAGGGACCTGGACTACAGGGACCCGGACAACAGGGACCTGGACTACAGGGACCCGGACTACAGAGACCCGGACTACAGAGACCCGGACTACAGAGACCCGGACTACAGAGACCCGGACTACAGGGACCCGGACTATGGAGACCCGGACTACAGGGACCCGGACTACAGGGACCCGGACTACAGGGACCTGGACTACAGGGACCCGGACTACAGAGACCCGGACTACAGGGACCCGGACTACAGGGACCTGGACTACAGAGACCCGGACTACAGAGACCAGGACTACAGAGACCCGGACTACAGGGACCTGGACTACAGGGACCCGGACTACAGGGACCTGGACTACAGGGACCTGGACTACAGGGACCCGGACTACAGGGACCTGGACTACAGGGACCCGGACTACAGGGACCTGGACTACAGGGACCCGGACTACAGAGACCCGGACTACAGAGACCCGGACTACAGGGACCCGGACTACAGAGACCCGGACTACAGAGACCCGGACTACAGGGACCCGGACTACAGAGACCTGGACTACAGGAACCTGGACTACAGGGACCTGGACTTCAGAGACTTGGACCACGACCCATCAACCAGTTACGCGAATACTTACAAACCTGTACATGGTTTGTCCATTTTTGGCGGCTTTGTTTACATATATATTAAATAGTTTATGAGCTCCAAAGTTAAAAGTGGCTGTTTATAGTAATAGCATTTGATTGGGCAGTTTCGGTCCTGATAGACTGTTTAATACATGTCAAATACCACTAAAGACTGAGAAAAGATGTACTGGTTCGTAATTACTGGCGTAACTGCTTCTTGAATCTGTTTCTGCCGCACCTCGAGTCCCGCACAGGAATTGAATAGTGATGTGGTGGAGGCTGACTCCATACACAGTTTTAAATGTAGATATGATAGAGCCCAGTAGGCTCAGGAACCTGTACACCAGTTGATTGACAGTTGAGAGGCGGGACCCAAGAGCTAAAGCTCCTCCCATCCGGGTGGCGAGATTAATACTAATGGAAGTCTGGTGTCAGTGTGTTGTTTAAAGGATTTAATCACTCATCACACATGTTCACTCCCCTCCTCCCTCTCTCACCGTAGTGCGGACACACGCACGCCTTGTCCCCTCACACACACGCCTTGTCCCCCTCACACACACGCCTTGTCCCCCTCACACGCACGCCTTGTCCCCTCACACGCACGCCTTGTCCCCCTCACACGCACGCCTTGTCCCCCTAACACGCACGCCTTGTCCCCTCACACGCACGCCTTGTCGCTTCACACGCACGCCTTGTCCCCCCTAACACGCACGCCTTGTCCCCTCACACGCACGCAAGTCCTTGATTACAAATTTGGTTAATTTTCATCTACGCTACTGTGTGTTTACATATTTTCCCTACGTAAGTTTTACGAGCCTTTCCAGTCTATTTCTGGACGTCATCCGTTAGGTTGTCACTCCATAGTGTGAACCCTAGACTACAGACGCTCTTGTGTATGCATCCAAGCAACCTTTTACGCATTCATAATATCCAGACTGGTATACTTCATGTATAAATGTCCACATTCCATGTATGTACTCTGTCCACATATACCCAAACGCTCCACGTCTACTCCGCACCATCATATTCCCCCACATATATACCAGTATATATATGTGGGGAATACATCATATATATATATATATATATCCACAAATATATATATCCACATCATCCTCACCCAAGCGACCAGTCCCCGTCACCCTGGTTAATGAGCTGTGTGAGAATTAGGTGATGTATTGGCAGCTCACCGAGCCCGCTGGTGCAGTAAATACTACTCGCTAAATACGGGATTTGTTCATGAAGACAACTCGCTTTTACGATTTGTATAATGAGCCAGCAGGCACTCGCAGGGTCTCTGTCCTTAATTGAACATATCGTTGACTGTCTGCCTCAGAATGGATGTGTGTGTGTGTGTGTACTCACCTAATTCTGCTTGCTTGGGTTGAGCTCTGGCTCTTTGGTCCCGCCTCTCAACCGTCAATCAACAGGTACCAACATTGTGTGTGTGTGTGTATGTGTGTACACTTAACAAGGTTTTCCAGTACCGAGCTACAGCTCCCGGGACCCCACTCGCCTGTCGAACTGACGATCGTCTAATGCAGTGACACGTCACCCCTTTGCTTCATGTTGTATCTGCTTTTAAAATTGTGATTTTAATTATCACCCAACTATTTAAATTGTAAGTTATTAAATTTATCCAGTATTAGACATATATAACGTAATACAGGTGTAGGACGCTTGTTTCTTGTTGAGGAAATTTGTCCAACTCTAATTTTTAAAGACCCTCCTTGTTTAAACATCTTCAAACTCTGCATCGCGGGAGAGTTAAGGTCAACCAGACCTTCCCATTAACTTGAATGCAAGTTGCATAACATCAGCACTTTTTACCAGTAAACATTAACCTAAAATGCTATACTTAGGGAAAGGAGAACAGAGAAAGGAGAACTCTACTCTCACAAACTACTTGAAAACAAGATTTCATCTGACACAATTATCAATGTATACAGATCTCAGCGCTTGGAGGAATTAGACAACAACACTAACTCTTATGCTCCTTAAGAATTAAGTCACACTTCGATCATTACGAGACCACTCAGAACACCCTAATAGCTAACCGATGTTACAAGAAGTGTTGTACTTCAGGAATGAAATATTACAAATATTGCTGAATCGTAAGAGGTCATTGTTCAACACGTACATGAAACCAGTTCTCGAACATGCAGCTCCCACATTCGATCAGCCCTCTACTAGTCAAGATCATTTAGAAGTTCAGAAATCCGCAACGAGACTAATCCAAGAGTGTGTGGATATCCTCATACGTCCTGTAATACAGGACGTATGAGGATAGACTTATGTTCCCAAACCTTGCCACACACACTGGAGTACAATAATGATGAAAGTCACGGTATTAAATGCAATATTCTCTCTCAGAGGACCTCAAGCAATCACTTAAAAAATACTTATTCTGTAAGTGAAAAACGCGATAGTATACTATGCATATGTTAGGTTAGGTGTTTAGGTTCTGTTGGCGATTGTTTGTATTTGTAGTACGTGGGTGAAGCACTTACCGCAACGCTATATAGATTTCACCCACGTACTTCAAATACAAATAATCGCCAACAGAACCTAAACACCTAACAAAACCTACGGCTAACTATACATAGAAATTTAATATATATTAATACTAACTAATATATGAGAACGAACCAATTTTATAATACACAATATTGATACAAAGGCACCCATTTCCAGTTAAATGGGCATGGACATGTATTGTACATGGGGACATGAATTGAGAAGAGGATGGGTCCAAGTGCTGATCATTGTGGCACTCCACTCGCTACCTTGACCAACATTTATATCCTGCCGCTGCCTGCATCCTGAGCGGTACTTCCTTCACCACCTTCCCATCCCAGATCCTTATCCTGATCCCTTCCATGTGTCTTATAGTCATAATGGCTTGGCACTTTCTTCTGATTGGTGGGTTGGACATGTATATGTGTGGGATTGGGTGGTTATAGATAGGAGCTGCCTCGTATGGGCCAATAGGCCTTCTGCAGTTACCTTTGCTCTTATGTTTCCCTCCCCCCCCCTTCACTTGTACAACTTTGTACTTATCTCGTCCCAAGCTGTTGCTTTAGTTGGGAGTGGCTAGTGAGAGGTATTATGAAGATGCAGTGTGGTTCTTTACATTCATCTTGCCGTAAAACTCTCACATTAATGTTTTCAATAAGGATTTTCCTTTGCTGAATGCTTGGACATAAAATTCAACTATTCTCATGATTTTTACAAGCTTCGTTTGACTCGGTTTCTAGTATGATGCAGACTCGTTATTGAAACTCATGTAGTTCAATGGCTGCTGCTTCTTATATTTTGTCATCACATTATACATTTTCTAACGTGGTGGAGTTTAGTATAGCAAGGGGTGTGTGCAATGCTACAGTTGCCTCTTGTGTCAGGTGGAGGGAGGGTGTTTGCTTTGGTCTAGGGTCTGCTCAGGTATCAGAAAACACCGTAGATGTTTTTAATGAGGACTTTGCAAGCTTCGCTACTGTTCTCTCTATCTTCCTCCTCTTGTACTGCCAGATCATGTGGTCTTTCACCGACGTGTTGATGCTGTTGTGGCTACCGAGCAGTTTAAGCTGGTTCTTAGCTTGTGATCCTGTGGCAGTGTGGTGCTGTTCCTCCACTGTTCTCCTCCTTCCTACGATGTGATTCACTACTGTACACTATGCATTACGTCCATGCACTTTTGCCTTTATTTGCCTCTATAAACTGCTTGTTAAACCGTGGACTAATGCTTTTTTGTTATTTCTTTATCTCTTACGGTGGAATGAATCTAACTTTCAGCTTTATGCATTTGTTCCATTCGAGTTCTGTCTTCCACGGTATTCTCTTTAAATTCTCTGACCTTCTGGTTATTCTTGTTTACGAGATGCTTGTCTCACATAAGAGGCGGGACCAAAGAGCCAGAGCTCAACCCCCGCAAGCACAACTAGGTGAGTACATAGCGCTAGTGGGCTTTGTAGCTGTGGATAAAACAGTTCTTAACCTATTTAGACTTATTTTAAATTTAAACCAAATCTTAGCATAATCTTTCCTAACCAAGTATAGTCCAATCTAATCCAGTCTAGTATAGCTTACATAGTGTAGAATATCACGGGACAAAGACAAA